GAGAGGAAGAGGAGGAGAGAAGAAGGAGAGGAGAAAAGGAGGAGGAGGAGGAGAGACGGAGAGGAAAAGGAAAAGGAGAGAGGAAAAGGAAGGAGAAGAAAAGGAAGGAAGGAGTGGAGAAGGAGAGGAAGAGGAGGAGAGAAGGTGAGGAAAAGGAACAGGGGAGAAAGAGAGAAGGAAATGAAGGAGAGAGGAAAAGGAGGAGAAAAGGAGAGGAGGAGAGGAGAAGGAAAAGAAGAGAAGGAAAAGAAGGAGAGGAAAAGAGGAGAGGAGAAGGAAATGAAGGAGAGAGGAAGAGGAAAGGAGAGAAGGAAATGGAGAGGAAAAGGGAGGAGGAAAGGAGAGAAGGAGGAGAGGAGAAGGAAAAGAAGAAGAGGAAAAGAGAGGAGAAGGAAATGAAGGAGGAAAGGAGAGAAGAAAAGAAAGGAAAAGAGGAGAAGGAAATGAAGGAGAGAGGAAGAGGAAAGGAGAGAAGGAAATGGAGAGGAAAAAGAGGAGGAGGAAAGGAGAGAAGGAGGAGAAGAGAAAGGAGAGAAGGAAATGAAGGAGAGGTGGGAGAGGAGAAGGAAAAGAAGAGAAGGAAAAGAAGGAGAGGAAAAGAGAGGAGAAGGAAATGGAGAGAAGAAAAGAAAGGAAAAGAGGAGGAGAAGGAAATGAAGGAGAGAGGAAGTGGAAAGGAGAGAAGGAAGTGGAGAGGAAAAGGAGGAGGAGGAAAGGAGAGAAGGAGGAGAAGGAAAAGGAGAGAAGGAGAAAAGGAAATGAAGGAGAGGAAAAGGAGGAGGAAAGGATAGAAGGAGGAGAGGAGAAGGAAATGAAGGAGAGAGGAAAAGGAGGAGGGAAGGAGGAGGGGAAAAGGGAAAGAAGGAGAGGAGGAGAAGGATTTGGGTTCTCTTGATGCTCTCTGAGCTGAGTAATTTTCTCGTGGACGTTTCACTACCCAATTAGGTAACATCACCCGTGCTAGAAGAGGGTGGAGTTCTCTGTTTATGTAGTCGGTTCATGAAACCACCTGCAAGGAACCAGCCGAGCTCACCAATTGCAATTCCTTGACACCCAGGCACCCCTACACGTCCCCCCCACCCCCAAAAAGGTTCCGGGTTCTAAGTCACCCAACGCTTGATACCCAACCTTTTCTCCTCCCCTCCGACAGGAGCAGCCTCCTCACCAAGAAACAGGACCAAGCTGCTCGCAAAATCATGAGATTCTTACAGCGTTGTCGCCACAGGTGAGGCACGGCTAGAGCTCCCCCCTTGGGGAGGGTGTGCGTGTGTGTGTGTGGGGAGGGGGTCCCGGGGAGTGTTCCTGGCAAGGCGCTGGCTCTCAACGGTGGGATCTTCCCCATCCCGAACAAGGCGAATCTCATTTCAACACCAGCAGGGTTAAGCGCCCAAATCTTGCCCCGTGGCACGATGGTCAAATCTGCGCCGGGAGCTTCCGTAGGGCAAGAATGCGCTGCCCACATCCCCGGAGGTTTTTAAGAAGACCCTGGACGGCCACTGGGCCGGGGTTGGTGTTCAAACGGGGTTGGACTAGAAGACCTCCGAGGTCCCTTCCGAAGGCCTTTGTCCAGGGTAGTCTAGAGCACGGCTCACCAACCTTTCGGACCCCAGGGACCACTAAATTCATCACTTTAAATCCCGCGGACCACTGATATAATCTGCTTAATGACCGGCGTGGGTGGGCGTGGCTAGGTGGTCATGTCACTATTCGCCCCTCCCCTGCCAGCCCCTCCTCCCCTGCCCTCCTTAGGGCCCCAACAGGGAGCAGTTGCCGGAGCGAAGCAGCCCCCAGGAGGAAGAGTTGGCAAAACAGCTCAGTTCAAATTGGATCTGGCCGAGAAGGAGGCTCAGCAGAAGCACCTCACTGAGGACTAGAAGCACAGGTTGTTTTAAGCAGAGGGAAGGCCTGTGGGAGTGCAAGGCCAGGTCCCGGTGCCTGGAGGCTCAGCGGGCTGAGATGGTCAGCTAGTTCCAAACCATGATGCCATCCCACTGAA